ATGTATACGTACACGAAGCTACTTATGTTTACCCATAATAACATGAAAGTAAAATTAAAATCCTTCAATCTAACAGTTAGCCTAGAAAATATTGCAATCACATGCACATTTTGATAAAGAAACATTTGATAAAAACATCGGGGACATTGAATCTCATTTTGGTGTTTTAACACCAAAAGGAGGGGTGGTTCAATTTTAACAAGTTTAATGGTGATACAAGTTTAGTGATACAAGTTCGACTAATAATTGTGTTCGTTACCTGCAAAGCTGAGACACCAAGTCCGTCTGTGGCCAGTTTAGAGAGCGTTTGACTGAATAACCGTACATCAAGCAGATCCGCTGAAAGGCCCGGACAATGCAGGGCCGAAAAAACCATTAAAGTCACCAGATATCTACTGGGGTGTATAAACAGTGAGACAGCCATCGTGTCGAGATCGTCGTCTTCAAAACGCGATTCGTGTATGTGCTTTCAAAGGCAGAGTCAATTCAGAATGAAGCTGCCGTGTATTATTCCTAGCTACTGAGTGGTTTTACGATGACGTTATCGCCCGCGGTCATTTTCTTTTCCTGTTGCGTGACTTTGAACACATGTTTGTTTACATCTCTCGAATTTTCATTCTGACCACATATACATGTACATGACGTGCAAACAACATATAACATAACAATTGGAACTGACAGTTCGTGTTGTAATAAGGGCATATAAACCTGCAGAAGAATTTAATTTATGCCAGTCGAAATAATGCCGGTCCCTGTCATGTTTTAGTTGTATTTATTTGCGTTCATGTACAACGTTGTTGAGGTGTAACTAGAATATGATCGTAATTGCTAATCAGCCGCCAGTAAAACCACTCGAAACTGAAGATCTAAAACATCTCTTGGCCAAAAATTTTAACAACTTCCTCTTATCTTTTTTTTTCCCTTTACACAACAATTTTATAGTATCTCGCATTTTAATTAAGTTCGAATTGCCAATGCTGGTTGGAGGACCCGCTTAATGAAACTTCTCAGGGTTTTAGGGTTTGTTTTGTTTTATTTCAAGAAAATACCATGTAACTTAACCTAGTGAACGTACAACGTGCCAGGACATATTATAAAATCAAACGACTGAGTCCAATATTGTCCAAGGTGACAAGCTACATTCTCCGGGCCGGGGAATACGGGAAATTACGTTTGTATATGACGAGGTCTTTTTCGAAACGGTGGTCTAGTAAAACTACTGAGTCTGTAGTGTTACTAGGTACAGGTAATTAGGATTTTTAATTATAAAAACGACGTCATTATATCTATGGGAATATATTGTTTCAATCAGTTCGAATTTAGACTTGAACTGAGCGCTGGGACTCATTTTAAGAATGGATAACTTAACATGCAATATTCAATCCGATTCAACCCGTGAGAGAACCTAGTACAGTAGGGACAGCAGAGCAGTTTTAATCAGAGAATGTTATCTTACTCTCAGAAAGTGTCTTTAGGGCTCCAGATGACGGTCATATGACGTTGGTTCTAAAGAAAAAACGAAACAAAACCCGCTGTACAACATGTCAGCAGGCATTATTATGGACTTCGATCGAAACTCAGTCGATTATCGCGAAAGTTTATTTCCTGTAGAAATCAGAAATAATTACGTTAGTTTTAGATGAAATCTTGAATGAGAATTTAATTATGAGTATTTATAGAGTTGCTTTAGCGAAAGGACACGTAGCTAAAACTGGCGTGAAGGTTTGTATTGTCTCTTTACTTTGGTTTTTCAAATTGATCACGTGGAGCTTTTTTGTAAGAAAATTTTGTTCGTTTGCCCAAGAAATCATTCTTTATTTATTCAAGGGTTCTGTTCGTGTTCTTTCTCCGATTGGAGTGACTGCAAACTTCTATCAGAGCAGATCTTGCAGCAGGTAGGTTTCTGAGAGAATGATTAATGCCTCATTTCCTAATACAATTTGTCAACACATTGTCAAGAAAACAGGTAATGAGAATAAAGAAAATTATGCATCAATGAGGGTATTTTATTTACTCGTTATGTGATGCTTTCGAGTGGTATACTGTGGTATATCCCACAAGTCACTTGAATTTTCTAGGTACACAGGCTACCCTTTAGGCCAGTGTGTATACCAAGAAAAGATAAGATAAGATAAGAACTTTATTAACGTGTCGAAGTCGCTAGCATACAATGTACACTAATTGGGGACACCTAAGTACGATTACTTATCTAATAATTAATAAAATATGAAATACATGTACGTATGTAAGCGTTTTAAAATATATAGATATATATAAAACAAACAATGAGTCATGCAGTAAGATCAAGTGTTAGTTGTTACATAAACAAACAGTCTCTACAAGTACTGTCCAGCAGGTTAGTGAAATCAGCCAAAAATACACGTGACAAGTGGGATGTTCCATGGTATACCATGAGAGCTTATTATTATTATACCATGCTTTTGATTCTCAATATGACATGCTTGTGGCGTATGATAGGAAGGTTGGATGTATAAATACTGTCAAATATACGCCAGCTTTCCTGTATTCTGATTGGCTGTATTTTCTATGACATGGTATAAATGAATGTATACCAAGTTCTCAGAACCATTATGGACAAAAAGTGTGGCAATCATTTGGGAGAATTATTTTGGTAAAGTTGGTCCTGATTTACTGCATCAATCAATGTAATTAAGACTGCAAGATTCTATTGTTCCTTGCATGGGCCCCTTCAGGCTGACCATGAAATAATTTGTAAGTTTGCATAGGTTTCGACTTAACTTGATTGCTTTCTTTTTCTGTGTAACTTGTTTGCTCATTTACTTTTATCAGCCTTCTCCCACATACCCAAAAGGATATTGCACAGCTCAGTACATGCTCTTAAGAAGTAAATGTAAGTTGCATTTAAGGTTAGGGTTTCATACAATGCTTCATGGAGTTCCAGGGTAACCTACCCTACATATTTTTTTTTTCCTAATTCTGTCACTTTTGCAGCAAAATTGTGAGGGAGTTGGTATCACATGTCAGAACACCTAGGAACTTAGGCTCTGTTTGTTAATTTTCAATATCAGTCTACAATAATTAAGGTGCAAGGTTTGTATAGTGCATTTATCCATGGCCAGCAGGGATACTAATTTATTGGAATGAAAGAAAGTATTTACATAAGAAAAGAGTTCAACTCCCATAGGATAATTGGTTTGGTACACCAACATGGCTGCCATTTCATTGCTTTGAGAAACCAATATGGCTGCCATGATGTCATATTTTTCTTGTGGTTTTTTATTACACTTTATGATATCAGTTCCAATAAATCAATCATCACAAGTGGATACTCATTTGGTCTCAGTACTTGATGTAAGGTAGCTGAAATATTCCTGGAACTTCACATCAAAACCAAGCTTTGTTACAAAATATTGTATTTGATTCTGACATTCCCATGTTACTTTCGTAACCATGTGAAAATGCTTCATTGTGTTCACAGTTCAAGCTCGCAAGATCTTAGGTACATTGAGCCCAAGACCACTGTTCCCACTTTTCATTTTCAAGACAGTCTTCCACGACTGCCAATTCCAAAACTGGAGGACACATGTCGCAGATATCTTGATGCACAGAAACCACTATTAACTCCTGAAGAGTATGAAGACACCAAACAACTAGTTGAAAAGTTTCAAAAGCGTGAGGGCCCAGGTATGGTAATAATTTCTTAATGCTCCCCTTAAAATGAAAAAAAAATTGTTTGGGCTAACTGACAAAGACAGCATTGTGCTGTTCCAGAAAATATCCATATTGTGGTGGGGGTCTGTCAGACCAAAAAATTAAAGAAACATATGAAGCTTAATTGGAATTTCCAAATGGGTGGGGGGTCAATAAAAAACCTTCTGTGGGTGAGGTATGGATATTTTCTGGAACTACACTTTACTTCTAAGTAAGTAATAACCATGCAATTCTATTGAACCAAGCATGGAAATACCAGCAATTCAATTTTTTTTTTCCCCATTGTAATACATTTCTGTCTCAAGTGACGTTTTTTGCTACTTCCAAAACTGGCTCATTTCAAATGAGATGAGCATATATAATTTGCTCAGAGTGAGTGTTTGTCAGTTGTGGGGAATAATAACTACACATGATCTTATTAGTTTTTATCAATATTTCTCTCAACAGGTCTTAATGCCGAGCTTTTACAGAAAAACAAGAATAACAAGCACACTAGTTACATAGCAGGTATTTAACACTGTCCATACTGCTTCAAGACATAAAAGCCATCACACATCACATTAAGAACTAGGCAACATAGTAATAGGAACAAACTTAAAAAGAAAATGAAAATTTTGATTTGGGATAGGTATCCCCCTTGGAGATCCTTATTGGTTCTGTAATCCTTGTCTTACAAGACTCAATAAACCCATTCACCCCTTTCTTCTTAACCTATGGATCCAGAGCATTTTCTCTCTCAGCTCTAGAACTTTGGAACAAACTATCCAATGATATACATTCATGCAATAATCTAAGTCATTTTAAACATGAACTGAACATGTTTCTTTTTAATAATTATTGTTTTGGCTTTTAATTTTTAATTTATTTTACTTTTTATCATTGGTCTCTGTAATTTTATCTCGTAGAACTTTCTTTTTAGCTCTTTACTTTTGTAAAGTGCTTAGAACAGATCTGGATAGGCACTATATATCTATTATTATTATTATTATTATTATT